CAGCGATGTAGGACAAAATTGAAGCTGTCCAGGGGTGGTCACCAAGTTGCTCTTCGTAAACAGAAATGGTGTTCTCTTTCCATATAGCGATTGCTTTTTGATGATCACCACTCAGTCGATAAGAAACTAACAAAGTGTGAAGACAAGATATAACTTTTACATAGTTATAGAAATAGGAAATAGGAAATGTTTTAGAACAGTATGAAGAATATACATGCGGAAGTTCGCCTGTTAGGGATCAAGCATTCAGAAATGATTGTTTTACTTTCACGTCGAAGCCTATAGACAAGACTAGTCCCTCTTTCTCGATGAAAATAAGACTCGACGAGATTCCAATACATAAGTTAAGTATTTCCTCTTTTCAACTTTCATTTAATTATGAATTTATCTGTTTTTCTCTCGGTTTAGTAAAAGAAAGCACCCAATTCGGAATTTTACAATGCGCTTTGTCAGCCTTTTAGCCTCCATTCAGTCTCTTACAAGGATACGCGGGTGTTATACGGAGTGCAAACAAAAACATTTACTTACTTCCAAGGTCACAGTATCCAGCAGCAACATACAAACAGTTACTTAAAGAATTTCTTATTGAAATCCCTTCCCGTATGAGCTCTCGTCCTTTTTTTTCTTCTCCCTGCAAAACAAATAGCCCTTGTAAATATCCCGGTCCAGTCTACCTTAGTGCGAGTGACACCCTATCAGGATTGACGCAAACTCGCGCATTTCCGCTTTTATTGATAAGGTTTCATTAAATTTCCTACAATCTTCGGTAAACAAGAAGAACTTGCACACTACGCCTTGGCGTAAGATTCTCATGAGCCCCACAAAAAGAAAATGCAGGGATGGTACTTCAAAAGGAAGCCATTGACAAATTCTCCTTAAAAAGGAAGAGATAAGAAGGAAAATCAAATTTAAAAAAAACTGGCACACAGTCCTCTTTTATAATTACTATGATCTCACCTGCAATACAAAACATACTCCAAGCTTACTGGCTGTGTGCGCATGCGT